TCTCTCTCTCTCTCTCATCTCTCTCATCTCTCTCATCTCTCTCATCTCTCTCATCTCTCTCATCTCTCTCTCATCTCTCTCTCATCTCTTTCTCATCTCTCTCATCTCTCTCTCCTCTCTCTCTCTCCTCTCTGTCTCTCGTCTTTCCGTCTCTCTTCTCTCTCTTCTCTCGCAGGAGGATCCGGGCAAAGAGCCACATATAAAGGACTCTTCACCCCTGCCTCCAAAAAGAGCGCCGTGTTTTTTCCTACCTCGCTGCCCTCCACTTTCCCATTCTGGAGCGCTAGCTTTCGCCCCCCCCTTGGCCTCAAGTAGAATTGGCCGGTCGCGCGAGTGCAAACCTCAGATTCCTTGGATTAGTCCGAGCAAGGTGTTCCATCGAGCGCTTCTTAGTGGTCGGAGAGGGTGGACTTGCCGCTACCCTCAAGAGGACCGAAATGTTCGACAGAGCCACCGTGCTCAGAGTAGCCTTTGGCAAAAGGACGACATGAAATCTATACGGCCCAGGAAAATGTCGATACCAAATGATCACAGATCAAAATGAACGGTTTCACACGTAGAAAACGCTAAAAGCTCTAGAAGATGCAAACCACGACAACCCCCACCATGCCAGATTGTGATGCCCAAACTATATAATGCGTGGCTGGGTTTGAAAGACGTTGTTGGGGTGGATCTCTCCGTAGCAATGATGGCTCTCACGGAGGATCCCGCATGTCATCACTGTCTTTGTTGACAACGGAGTCACCTTCGTCAAGGCGTCTCAGTCAGCAGGCACGTTCACAGAGATCACACCCTGAGTCGGAGAGAAACGGAGAGAGTTTCATGACTCTTTGTGGACCAAAATGCACGCAAGCAACCTGTGGAGAGTCGTGCTTTCCGGGCTTTCCTGACGAGTGCCCCGCCAGACATCGACAAAAATCAGTTGATTGAAGAAGACAAGCGCTACCGAAGGGAGGTGGCCAAGAAGAACGCAGCCAAGGCACTTTGAGTTTGTGCGCCTTGAATTTGTTCAGGGGATCTGTGTGGGAGGAAATAGTTTTGTCATCAGCTGTTCGGCTGTTCAGCCTATACAGAGGGTTTTGGGTTTGGGGTTTTGGGCCATGCCAGTATCATAGAATTTCGTTACCACAGTTGCGAGTCTATAGGCATTTAGACAAGGAGTTGGATTTGTAAGTTGCAAGAAGTACGAGTTTCAATTGCAGATATCACACCGGGCACTTGCAGGCAGCTGCAATGGGTACCTCGAAGGCGAAGGTGCATTTAACTTGGAGTGCCTTGAGATTCCCATCGGTTATATTCGGTTATTGGACCATGTGCCCTGCACAAACACACGGTGTTTAGTCCTTGGCGAAGTACAAGTGGATGTTGCTTCAGCTTCTGCCCCAAGCAGTTGTCCCCAGAAGTTCACTCAGTTCACTCATGGCCAGGCTGCTGCACCGCCAGCAGGCAGGTTCCACATAGTTCCACGGCGTTCATGCGGTACGACTGAGCCATGAGCTTTCTGCTTGCAATGCCGCCAGGTGTTTCTGCTCCAAACGACACGCAGGTCGGCCCTGAGGGCTGACATCGACAGCGTCCTGAGGGTTGACATCGACAGCGTTGCAAAGAAAAGCAAGGGTTGGATAGGTTTGGAATTATTGAAGGGCCGGTGTGCCTTGCGCCAAGGGTTTTGGTAGATAGTGTCTCCTGAACACTTGCGAATCTCAAATTAAATTTGATGTGATTGTGTGATATTGTGTGATTTATTACAGAGTCAACTCAGCAATGAGGCTTCTGTGAGAGGGTACTGGGAGCAGACTGGAGGAAGGTTTGAGCACAAACCCTTCAGTGGTTATTTCTATGTGTTGTTCAGGTTTCATTTCCTCAAGCAATGAGCTGTTTCAAGCCAGGCCAAACCCCACCGGAAAACAAGTCATTGTCAGCTGGCATTGTCACCCAACCAACCTGAGCTGACAGGGAAAACGACCTGCAGAGGATGGAGCAGGGAACGCAGATAATAAAAAGCAAAGGACCGAGTCTGAGTGCGCAAAGTTTTCGCTGAAACCAAGCATAGCACCGCATACGAAGAAAAACTCTTGCGACAGCCATGAACATTCGAAGCTCCAGAGTATTTCGATTACGGTCCGGCCAAGGGAAATCCATCAGGTGGAATCAATCTCGCCTCTTTTTCGAGTATGTTGGATCAAGCAAGCTCTTTTAACTTCTTTGCCTTCATCCTTTGAGATTTCAGCACTTGGAGTGCAGCACATATCGGTTTTCAACTACACAATATATAGGTATTTCTGAAAGAATTGATGCCAGCAGTCTAGCTTCTAAAGCATGCTGTTGAAACAATTGTAAAAACCTGCTTGACACATTCCACACCTGCTTGTGCGTGCACAACGTTTGTTTACTTCATGTATATATGTTCATGCACCTACCTGCCTGTCGTATTGACGACTCCTGCTAGGAATGAAGCAGAAGTGGAGACTTTGGCAAGGATGCTGATCCAGGCGAGAGACAGAAAACGTTTCACGGGAGGGAACGTTTTGGCCTTTTTCGGGTGCCCCCGGAGCCACCAAAGAGACATTTGGCCTTTTTGGTAAGGAATGAGTGGGTGACCAAAGATGTTTCACAGCTACGAAATGGAGGAGGTTGCATGTTAGTTGGAGGTGAATTATGCACAAGAAGCATCATGCAAACTGAGGTTTTGGTTTTCTTCAGTGGGACCGGCCGATGTAATATTGCATGCAGATGCAAAAGAAATTGTGGTTTCCTGGTGTGGCAACCCCAAGTTAATCTGGACATTGGTGGTTTTGTCAATCTACAGATTCTGCAGTCCCGTGATAGTCTACCAGCTTCACAGTCACACGTGACGTGTGAAACGCTGATGTCCGACATTCCTGGCTCGCAGGGAGTGGTCCGAGTCCTGCAGAACCGGCAAAAAGCCAACAAGGGCGTTGGGGAACTCAAAGGACTGATGCAAAATGATGCAAATATCTCAAAGGTGTGTGACTGGGAGATGAATGTGTTTGAGTTAGTTTGAGATATTTTGAGTTTAGTTGCCACTGCAATGATACTTCCCAGGCTTTGCCCATGAACGAGCTAGAGACGGAGTTCAAGGAGCCGTGTCTTTCACTTCATGGCAAGGGTTTTATGTAGTCGTGTCCAAGAATTTGGTTAACCGGGTCCTGGACAAATAGGTGTTGAGATGCCTCAAGCCGGTGCACGTCTACTAAACCAGTGCACGAAATTGACCGGTCCATACTGCGGCCATTGGACGCCTTTAGTTAGGATGTGCACTGAAAGTGTATGAGAAATAATGAGCTATTACAAAAAAGCATGATTAACTTGGGCTAGCAGAGCGAGTCGGTGAAAACCAGGAGCTCTGGAAGGTTCCCTTCAATGTGAAGCAGGTGCGGCTGGACTTGAAATCCTGTTTCTGTCGCGAAGTCGCAGAAGGAACACTCTGTAGCATCAAGACACATCAAGACGCCCAGACTACTGCTCATCGTCACCTGTCCTTCCTCAGGCCAACGAGACCGACCCTGTGGCATTCTTGCGGAAATGGCCCAGCAAGGCACGAAGTCAGCAACCCTACAACACACAAGTCTAGAGTTTGCTGCTTCTCGTTGTCGAGGGACGACTATCTCTCGTGTTGGCAAAGCCAGTCAAAGTGAAGTGTTAGGCTGAAGTACTCTCGGTATGGTTAGCTTAGTCACAGAGTGACTAGCTAAGAGGGGAAAAAGGATCACAAGAACAAAAAATATGAAAACAAAAGAAGTCCACCCTTCACCTCTATTAAGGTCCCCTCAATGGGCCCTTATTAAAGGTGACCCTAACCTTCTTTTCTTTCTCTCGTGAGCGGATATCGGCCCCCTGATAGGTCGAAGTGGTCCCGCAGGGCGATTCCTTCGTGGTGATCTCGGCCTGTTTTGACCCGGCTGGCTTTGCGAAAGGAATGAACATGGAGGTGCTCGAAGACCAGCTGGTTTTGAGCTCGTTTCACGAATGTTTGCGGACCCTGCTAATGTGCTGGCAGCGCTGACTTGTACAGTCTTTGGCAGTACATCTGGGCTTCCAAAAAACTCTTGACCTTTGCCGAATGGCTCCAAGTCAGATCTTCCCTGTCAGGTGTGTGTCTCTTCTTACAAACCGTTCACCCTGCCAGGTCCAACTCGCCAAGAAGGGGGCCTTCAAGTCCGGCTTCGAGGAGCAAGCCACAACCGCGGCCTCGCCCTCGGCAGGCTCCACGGAGAAGGCGCCCGAGAAGGCGCCGGAAAAGGCGCCGGAAAAGGTGCCGGAGAAAGCGCCGGAGGCCGCTCCGGCGGCGGAGGCGAAGAACGGCCCCGCCAAGCGACCAGGCGGGGAAGCGGAGAAAGTGTGAAGTGGCGGGCATGGAACAAACCAACCGGCATGGAAATACTGTATATGGAAATTGTATAAACGCAAAGATGTTTCTTGAATGAAGACGTGTGATAGTCGGAAACTGTTGTTGGGATGGACAAAGTCTAGATGTGACTTGGTATTCTGATGCACCGGACTCTGAGGAGTCCACCCCAAACTTACTGTGTTGTTTTTGCTGTTTGAAGATAGGGGATGTTGGAGAATGATGAGTAATTTCCTTGAGCCCCTTGCCTTTAGAATTGCCCAACCCAAATCTTCAAGCATACTATGCAGACCCTAGGCTCCAGGGCAAAGGGTTGAATATCCAATATCAGTTCAAGCTGGAATGATTGAACCTTCGGAGATAGCGATCTTTGTTGGACCATTGGACCCATTTGGCCCTCGTTTGGAACCAGGAGTCAACAAAGTCCCGTCGGACATTCGAGACTTCCTGTGGAACTTGCACACCTTGCTGCATGCACATGGAGGCCAGGCAGGTTTGTTTCTTGGGGCCAGGCATGTTTGTGGTTTCACGGAGAACTCAGGGCCAAGGTGTTGTGGAGCAGCTGATTCATGAGTGAAGTGTGTTTGTATGTGGTCGCATGAGCCAGCTAGCAAGTAAGTGAATCCATAATTTCAGATTTCATGTAGGACTTCGGAGTGCACAGGGCTACTGCGCAACCAGTCATCAGGTGGAATAGCCATTGATCAGCTGAAGGAGGTGTACTTTAAGCACTTTGGGCACAAGCCAGGAAGCCTGACGAAATTCCGATCAAACACATAGCATGTGTTTGGCAGCATTGGGCAGGATGCACTCAGGATACCTTTCTTCCGTAGCAAAGCAAATCTGGAGGTCTTGCTTGTGAAGTATTGTACTAAGCACCTGTCAAAGGCACGGAGCGATCGAGACAAGTTTGGGTTCTCCTTCGGGTGGTCAGGTGGTCACTAAATTCATTGGCCAGCCCATTCACATCCTTCATAGATGCAACAGTTTTTCAAGCCAGAAGCTTCTGCGCATTGAAATGCATCAAGCATCCAGCAATGTCATCTTGGGAGAGGATCTTCTCGCATGTCGTTTTCTAAGTTCTCACTAGTGCGGAGGAGCATCTCCCGTCGAAAATTTCCACCTACGGTGCCGAGGTGTACAGTGGAACGGTTCCTGGTAGTGGGAGAAGGTGGCCTGCAGGGAACCTTGAAGAGGCCCGGACGAAGATGTGAAGCGAGGGGTACGAGGAAGCTAGGCTTCTAGCTACTAGTAGTAATGCCCTTGTTACTAGTAGCTTCTTGTTCCTAGTAGTAATGTACGTGTTTATAGTAGCGATGCGCTTCGAGTCAAGCCTGATATGGAGATGCTCCTACACGAGCACATAATGGCCAGGATACCCCACATCGTCCAGATAGTCCAGGAGACGGATGGACGGTGATGGACGGTTGGGCAGAATTCCTCTTTCATCTCATTCCTTGCTTAGTGAGTGCGCTTGTACTGTCTCTCGACGGGAAGAGGCTTAAATAGTAGCATCATATTCATCCAAAAATGGAGGATGAGGAGGACCTTTGGGATGAAATGATGTGAAGATTGTCATACTGATGTGATTTGCAACGATTGCAATGACGGAAATCACAGAAACATTCAGGTGCTTCCTCCCGTGTGTTCCTCACTGCAGCGGCTGTTCCTTTAGGAGCCTGAGCCCACCCTGCAGCCGAGCCTCCCGGCAGGCTCCTTCACTTATTCGCGTCACTGGTGGAAACGGTGAAGTCTGAAAAGCGTGAGGGTGTTTTAGGAGGAAAAATAGAGTGTTTGAGTCTTTGGGTCCCTGTATATGGCCCCTTTGTGTAGAAGGGCCTTATGAAAGATGCTCAAACAGAATCAAAAAAGAAACATTGTTCTTTTCTCCAAAAGCAGATGGTAGCCACAGCGCGACAAATCATCATTCTAGGCCCATGACCGCACGACAAGTCTGCCATTGAAGAGTATGCTGTATGCTATCCTTCCAAGATCTTCCAAGTATATACTTTAGAAAAATACATTATATAGTAGTGCAAACCAAGAGATGTTGATTGTCATGATGATTTTGGTACGATTTCAGACCACTTATCAGTTTCACACGTCCGCAGTCCTGTGGTAAAATGCACTCTTTGCATGTATATACATCAGTGCCTACTCAAAGTGCTACCTATGAGTGTCGGTCACTGCTGCGATTTGCCGCTGTAGGCATAACTCGGGAAGAGCTCACTGCAGAAGATGACAAGTGACCCTTTTTCTTATCAAGGCCCACTATACCACTGCGACATCAAATTATTTTGGATTATGTTTCCCCACATGGTCCACTGGCTACCTTTTCGCCATGAACTGCCATCTGCTAGATGACTGACATCAGACGTTGCATGATCCCTTTTGTGTACAGAGCAGAACTTTGCAGCATGTTTGTGTGAGTAACTAGTGATGTTCCCAAACGGATGTTAGTGCATCGTGTATCCAAGTGTTTCACACAAACACAAACACCTAATGACCGCCCATCCCAGGTACCGAAAATCCTTGGTGCACAAAGCCAAGGCGGTGACTTCTGATGAACAAACGGAAGCTGATGTTCTGATTTACTCTGAAGCTCTATCACTCTATAGGGGGTAATGTTTGTGTTCAAGGCTACCAGGTCCAGATGTCAACTTCCCTTTGAGCCTTTGGAAACTGCAACTCCAAGCAGCTTCCAATGCCCAGCACACAGCCTGACTTGGAGATCATCATCCATTTCAAAGCCAGATAGACTGCGGACAACTCGGCTGTTGGGGCAGTTGGTTCACTTTCAATTTTTTTTCAGGCTGGTGTCTGGATCTCAGGCGTCTCAGACTCTCAGACAACTCAGGCTTTGGCAACTCTTCTAGATACAATATTTTTCAGAACTCTTTGAGAACTACCAGGATCAGTGGGGATGGGCCAAAACCTGGAGCCCTGGTCCACCATGTGGCGAACGACCGACACCGGGTAGGTCAACCGGTCGGTCTCCTGGTGCCACGACCCACGCCAAGTCATTGATGCTATAAGAAAGAAGCTACTAGGGGCTCCTGGCATCGCTACTAGGAGCAAGGACGCTACTAGGGGCTCCTGGCCGTACTACTAGGAGCAGAAGCTATTAGGAACAACAAGATATCACATGAGCGGCCTAGGCTGCCAAGGCAGAGCCAGCCAAAGCACCAGGACCCTCACCCGAAGGTGCGAGCCCCGTTGGCCCGCTGACGGTGCGCAAGGCCTCAGGTCGTTGCACACGACTGGGCTATTAGAAGCATTTGGAAGCTTCATCATTGTGATTGATTTGGTTTAGCGTAAGTACATTCTAGAATCCTAGAACCAGGTACAACATGGTACAACCCCAAGCTTGGGCCTTTGACCATCCCCCGGCTTGTGCTTGGGCAGATATAGTTGTCAGGTGAAAGAGATCCGAAGAAGGCAAGAACGGACGATCCCGAGACTTTGCAGCGCATGCTCATCCAGGCCCACGCCTCGTGTTCCTGCTTTCTTTGTGATCCAGCTGCTGCTACGTCTAGCTAGTTGCCATTGAGGTATGGTGTGGGAGATGTAGGTCGCCAACGTTCGTGGATACTTTGGTTCGCTTTGCAAGAGATGGTTTGTTCTTTTTACGTGATCTATCCTCAGGGCGTTCTACGAGTGCTGCAGAACCGCGTGAAGGACCGCCTCTCATAGCACAGGGCCTTTGAAAAGTTGGTAGTTTGCCTGCCAAAACCTCCACTGCCACGAGAGAAGGCAATGCTTAAGCCCCCGGCATGGTGGGTAGGCACTCAAACCTGCCTGTAGCACCGTGACATGCTGAAACAGTCCGCAATGTCAATTTGAAGACCTAAGAACCGTTGTAAATTGTTCAGCGATTGTTGTGTGTTAAGCTTCTCGTTGCTTCACTCCGGTACCGCTGCATGCAATCGTCCAAGTGGAAGTGCTAAATTGAAAGCAATACGGGCCAATAAGCATCCGGATTGCTTTGTCTTTTGCTTTTCAGGGTAGGAGGGAGACACTGCAATGACATCCCACAAAAGAACAAGTCAACTAAAACCCAGTGGTTGGAGGCTTTTTGATACACACAACATCACACAACCGTTTGTATGTGTAGCAATTGTGGCCCAAGCAAATACATGTTGACACCAAGCAAAACCGATAAATTTCCTCAAAGTGGTCTACAGGCTCAGCCTTCATCAATAAGTCCAACTCAGTGTCCTTGCCTTCAACAGCCATTTTCCCACTGAGTGTTTCAATTCTGAAGCTAATGATTCTGGACCTGACACTGAAACTGAGATTTGTTGCGGAGATGTGTTGCGACGCACCGATACAATTTGAGTTTGATTCGATTTGAGGATGGCAAAGGGCCATTGCCGGTCGCCGAACTGGATCAAGAGTTCGAGGCTGGTATTCTATTTGTTGACTTGTTGCCGCAGGGTGTCATTTTGGCGGTTTTCCACTTATATACTTGTTTGTTTGTGTTCCACTCAACATTCAGCCTGTACCCCGGAAGACTGCAGTGCTGCGACATGAGATGTCCCCATGTTCAAGACGTCAATTTTTGGGAAGGGGGCGTGAAACACAGGCTGAATCAGCAGAAAGGGACAAGTTAAGACGGTGTCCTGCACTCTATGTTCAATTCTTCATCCAGATTTGGCTGCACACTGCAGTTGACTGATCCCAGGCTGCATGGAAGGTACCTTTCAACCTTCAGCAGGCAACTCCGACGACTTGTGTGGAACAGAGAATAGCGAAGTCTCAACAGCTGCCAGGTACAAGAGTTGTGTTTGAACCGCACGGCCTTGCTTCGCATTCTCGGGTTCAATGCGTGAGGCCGGAGAGAAAGACACCGTCCAGTTCTTGCAGCGGTGGCCAACCAAGGCAGTTCGTGTACCAGACGGCATTGGTTCAGGGATACTCTATCATGAATCAACCAGGAACCAATCCCTTCATTCTAATATATTCTAATGCAGGCGTTGGTGAATGTTGGTGGCCTGTTTCGTTCGGATGTTTCTCGAACCGAGTCACCAAACGGCGCACCACGCACTTCAGTTTCGGTCATGGCGGGTTGCAGAGAGCCCCAGCGCAGTCCTTCTCGCAAGGTTTGTTGAAGGTTCTTTCAGTCGGTGAAAGTCCACAGGTGGAGGTCTACAGAGAGAACGGGCGAGACGTTTGGAGCTTAGTCTTTTGGCCTTTTCGCGGCCCGGAAGCCACAGCGCTGCAAGTGACTCCAGCTTCCGATGCATGCATGTGTTTCAAGTGGGTGGAGATCAGTTGTGGTGAAAAAGAAGTAGCAAAATTATCTCAAATGTCTCACCAGCTGCACAAAGCCAAAATCCAACCTGCAAAGACGCCTGATTGTTTGGCTTCAGATGCCAAAGATCCAATGAGGTGGTCAGCTTAGCCAAGAAGCCTGCCGAGAAGGCCAAGGCCACTGCGGTGAAGGCAGGGGTGAGTTGAGAAATGCTAGGCTTCAGACATGTCGTGAGATCCACAGAGGGTTAACCATGGTTCTCATGCGATATCCTGAGATCAAGACAGCATGATAGCAGAAACCGGCAGTGTGCTATGTTCTTTCGCTGACTCTAAACTCACAAGCTTGGGCTGTTCAGCCGGGACCTCACACGCAGGCACCACCAGCCAAAGCAGGCAGATCCAGTCGAAAAGATCCGAAAGGGGACGAAAGCAGACATGTTCAATTCCTGTTGGCCTTAAAGCTCCCGCCACACTTCCATTAGCTTCCTGATATGTCCCGTTACGGACGCTGAAATTGATTACCATCAGTTACCTGCTTTCAACTTTAGCAAGGTTGGTCGCTATGTAACAGAAAAACATACCCGAACTCCATCGATCGAAGGCAGATCCGTGGCTAGCGCAGTAGAAGCGTGGCAGATCGTGACTGGTTCAAGCACTTCAAAAATGCGTCTTCTGCAACAGCTATGAGCTGGTGGACCGTCATATTCATTGGTCTCACTGACTTGCCGGTTGCAGGTAGTACTGCAACCACTGCGGGAGCCTGAGCAAACTTGCGTGCTGCAAAATGGCTGCCCTTCGCTTTTGGCCCACACAGATGACACATGAGGGAAAAGCAAACAATCTTCTCACAGGGTCCCACCCCTGAGTCCAAGTTTTCATGGAGTTTTCATGCTCCCTCTCCGTCCGCACCCGCATCCCCATCCCCTCTCTCTCTCTCTCTCTAAATTCATACCGTCGACCTTATCGCGTGTTTTCCTCTTCAACTTAAGGTTGTCAACAATTTGTAGCGGATACGTCGCTTTTCTGACTGTACGGAGCCGCGTGGTTTCACCAAAGATAGAACCGATATGAATCAATCACGGAACAAGAAGCTACTAAGGGCTCCTGGCCGTACTACCAGTAACAAGAAGCTACTAGGGGCTCCTGGCCTTACTGCTAGGAGCAAGGAAGCTACTAGGGGCTTTCTTTCGTTCCAACGTTAACTTGATTGAGGCACCTGCTCCAGTGCCGGAGAGGCAAGGGCTGGCGCTCGGAAATAGTTCCAGCTGAGTCTGACTCGCACAGCTGATGGACTTTTCAGATTTCTATGACAGTGGATCAAAGCAGATACCAAGATTGAGTGTGCGTTTGGGCAGTGTAGTTGCCCTGTGTTTGATCTCGCGATGGAGATAGAACTTTTGGCGTGATGGGGCCACACAAGTGTCCAGAGTTCAGAGGCCAGCGGAGCCAGCAGGAGATGTCATATGCCTAGTTCGACAGGTGACGCGAACATATATATATATAGATACATATATACTTGTATATATATATATAGCTCCCATAGACTAAACTAGACTAGACAAAAGCACACTGGAAAGTGCTGCGAAACTCCCAGAGACACGAAATGGTACAAACTCCAACTGTGGTGCAAATAGATACTACACTTCTAGGGTTGCGCTCTGATGAGTGTGTAGAGCCGAAGTGAAGGTTGCTGATGATATCTTGGTTGGAATGAATCCTGTTTGTGCATAGGCTGATTGAAGGGAGGAGACAAAGACCTGCCTTGATCAGTTTGCGAAGCACTGTGTCAGCAAGTCTTTAAGACAAATCGATCAGCCAATTTTGCGCTTTTCACACCAGCTAAGGCAACGTTGCCTGAACTTACCCAGAAGGCACCCTGGGTGTGAAGTTTGTTGGGTGGAACTTGTGTTTGGCTTGTTGACCGTAAGGACCGTAAGGCAAAACAACGGACAATGCCACTGCATTGCTTTGTTCATTCAAAGGCGCTAGAGGAAAGTGCAGACTCTCACCAGGCCAAGAGCATGTTGCAGAGCATGAAAGATCTCGTGGAACAGCAAGAGGCGATTGTCGATGCGGCTTTTTTAGCTACCACAAAGCAGAGCATCTGAGGATGAATGAATCTGAGTGATCGTTCTCAACCATACAGAACCTGGAAGTAGTCACCGGCGAAGTATTTCAATCACGCAAACTGCTACACTGGGATGTTTCAGCTGAAACAGCTATGTCCAAACTCAGAGGTTGGCGACTGTTCATAAAGTTCACATGCGAAACGAAGCTGCACAGTGCTTTTCAGCAGGCCCTGGTGAAGGCTTTGACTAAGCTGCAGAACTAGTTGGTGAGGCGCTTCAGTCAGTGTGTGAGCTTACAAGATTAATGTGCATCACCACCTGAGCGAAGTTGGGTGGCTGGGCAACCTCATAGATGTGTGGCCATAAAGTAACATAAAGTGCAATATGGCAATTCAGCCACATGAGTGCCTGGATTGTTGATGTCGAAGCATGTCATCTAACTAAGAGAAAACCTCTACGTGGGACTTGTACTGCCGTCTATCTGAGAATCTGCGGCGGTCCCCACTTGCATCAGCCCATCTGAGGCACTCGCCCTGTTTGTGACCCGGCACATCCGCGAATCCGAGCAGCCTGTTGCATAGGACTTTTAATTATCGGTGTAAGTGACACATGACTATCAGATACTATCAGTCATTTTCATAGCACAGATGATCAAATGGTGGAGACGTTAGACATCGGAACGAATCATGTCAGAACGTGGTCGGCTGTCGGGATCATGTCTTGCACCTTCCCTCGGCAACGTGGCGGCACTTTCTGAGCCCTGGAACTAGGTCGGATAGCGATGCCAGGAGCTACTAGTAGCTTCTTGTTACTAATAGCGATGCCCTTGTTCCTAGTAGCTTCTTGTTACTATGGTTTGTACAAGTTTTGGACATTGCATAGCTGTCAGTTCACAAAGTGCTAAGCTTGGCCCTTGTGTGGCTGAAGCAGCGGGATTGTACCAGAGCGTCATGCCAAGAGTGTTTCCGACACAAAGGTGAACAAGAAGACTGTGGGAGTTTGTTCACATCGGATTGTACAGGTAGATGATGATGAAATCAATGACATACGCACACTATTTCGTGAAATGTTGCCAATTGTCGGGAACATGTGGTCATCTTTCGCGTCTTCGCGATCCACATCGTCAGATGAGCTTATGAAGTCGCGAAAAAATATTGTGTGTATATATATATATACATAAATATAGAAAGAGAGCGGGTAGTTGTGGCAATGCATTTTTTTTGGCCCATTTGATATAAATTAATTATTCAATATAAATATATATTATACCTGATTTAATTATATGTTCATTCTAAGTTAATTCTAATCGAAATTTATACGTATATTGATTTAATGTTCTTTTAATTTTAAATAGTAATTTAGATCTAGTAAAATTGGTGTAATTTTAATATATATAATTCTTTTTAAAATATATTTAAGTGAATTAAAAATGAATTTTAGATTTAAATAATTTATTTTAATTTATATATTATTTAATTTTATTTATATATTTAAACAATTTATAAAAATATATATTAGGTATTATTATGAATATTAGGAGGAATTGAATTATATGCCGTTATTAAAAGATTGCACAAATAAAATAAGATGGAGCCTACGAATCCGAATGCAAACACATACGTTAAACCACTGTGTATAAAAGAGACATAGCCGGTGGGAATCTCTTTTTCACTCTCTGACACGTTGTTGGACGGGGACTCCACCGGCATGCTGGGGACTTCACCACCAAGCTCTGTCTTCATTATGAAGGATTTTTGTTTTGCATTCAAAGAAACAATGGCATTGTCCCAAAATCTCGAAAATAAGCATTTGAAAATGATAACCGTCCACATAATATAGAGAAATCCACAATTGCGGCGTTTGATCTTCTTGTAAATAGGAGTGCAAGACCGTGCGTTGTTGTGGTTCATCTATTTCGACAAGAAGTATATGAGACACACACCCAACGGAAGTGAAGAAAACTATCTTATAGGTCATATTATTAGGACACTCTTGTGGGACATTCTTAAAAGATACTCTTGTGGAACACTCTTGTAGGACACTTTTGTGGGACACTCTTAGAAGACACTCTTGTGGAACACTCTTGTGAGACGCTCTTGTAGGACACTCTTGTGGGACATTCTTGTGGGACATTCTTGTGGGACATTCTTGTGAGACACTATTGTGGGACACTCTTGTAGGACATTCTTAGAAGACACTCTTCTAGGAACACTCTTGTGGGACACTCTTGTAGGACACTCTTGTGGGACATTCTTATAGGACATTCTTGTGGGATACTCTTGTGAGACACTATTGTGGGACACTCTTGTAGGACACTCTTGTGGGACACTCTTGTAGGACACTCTTGTGGGACACTCTTGTGAGACACTTTTGTGGGACACTCTTGTGGGACATTCTTGTGAGACACTCTTGTGGGACACTCTTGTGGGACACTCTTATAGGACACTCTTGTAGGAAACTCTTGTGGGACACTCTTGTCGGACACTCTTGTGGGACACTCTTCTGGGACACTCTTGTAGGACACTCTTGTAGGACACTCTTGTGGGACACTCTTATAGGACACTCTTGTGGAACACTCTTGTGGGACACTCTTGTAGGACACTCTTGTGGGACACTCTCGTAGGACACTCTTGTGAGACACTCTTGTAGGACACTCTTGCGGGACACTCTTGTGACACACTCTTGTGGGACACTCTTGTGGGACACTGTTATAGGACACTCTTGTAGGAAACTCTTGTGGGACACTCTTGTAAGACACTCTTGTGGGGCACTCTTATAGGACACTCTTGTGGGTCACTCTTGTAGGAAACTCTTGTGGGACACTCTTGTGGGACACTCATATAGGCCACTGTTGTGGAAAACTCTTGTGGGACAATCTTGTAGGACACTCTTGTGGGTCACTCTTGTAGGAAACTCTTGCGGGGCACTGTTTCGGGACACTCTTGTAGGACACTCTTGCGGGACACTCTTCTGGGACACTCTTGTGGGACACTCTTGTAGGACACTCTTGTAGGAAACTCTTGGCGGGGACTGTTTTGGGACACTCTTGTAGGACACTCTTGCGGGACACTCTTGTAGGACACTCTTGTGGGACACTCTTGTAGGACACTCTTGCGGGCCACTCTTACGGGGCACTCTTGTGGGACACTCTTGTGGGACACTCTTGTGGGTCACTCTTACACGACACTCTTGTAGGACACTCTTTGTGGGACACTCTCAAAACCACTCTTGTGGGTCACTCTTATGGGACACTCTTGTCGGACATTCTTGTGGGACACTCTTGTAGGACACTCTTGTGGGACACTTTTGTGGGACACTTGTGTGACACTCTTGTAGGAAACTCTTGTGGGACACTCTTGTAGGACACTCTTGTGGGGCACTCTTATAGGACACTCTTGTGGGACACTCTTAAGGGACACTCTTGTGAGACACTCTTGTGGGACACGGTTGCGGGACACTCTTGTGGAACACTCTTGTGGGACACTCTTGTGGGACACTCGTGTCGCGACACGGTCTGCCCACACACTAGAAGCAGTCACGCGAGCGTTTCGTACGAGACTTCCTCCAAAAGTCACGCTTCGAGGCTGCAACACGAGCGTTTCGTACGAGACTTCCTCCTAAAGTCACGCGTCAAGTCTTCAAAACGGAGCGTTTCGTACGAGACCTCCTCCAAAAGTCACACGTCAAGTCTCCAAAACGAGCGTTTCGTACGAGACTTCCTCCAAAAGTCACGTGTCAACTCTCCAAAACGAGCGTTTCGTACGAGACTTCCTCAAAAACTCACGTGTCAAAGTCTCCAAAACGAGCGTTTCGTACGAGACTTCCTCCAAAAGTCAAGCGGAAACACCCATCGGAGCACACACATCACGCAGCCCTGCCAAGCAGTTTCGCGATTCCAGCCCCTCCAAACGACACCCGCTCACACTCCAATCCCAATGTGACAGCGACATTCACCTCTACCATAACTCACGACCTCGCGATTCCCTGCGCCTGCCACGAATCTTTCCGCATCCACACGTCTAACGCGCACAAAGTACTGCGCCTGCCACGAAATGTCAACTCCGTCACACCTCGCAACCTCACGATTTCCTGCGCCTGCCACGAAAATCGCACTTCCACACCTCAAAATCAGCACAAAGTACTGTGCCTGCCACGAAAAGTGAGAATATCATCTCACATGAGCTTCAACAAAATTTGCACCACACCACACGTTTAGAATGATTTCGACCCGTTCTGAGCACACTCCCATCCACCAAAATCGGCATTTCAGCTGAGACTTGTCACGAAAACAGAGCTTCGATGCCACACCCTGAAATGCAAATCCCAATGGCACGGCCACATCCAACACCCCAAAAACACGACTCTCCAAACGCTAATCCCAATGGAACTGCGCAGTAAACTGCGGATCTCTCAAACCACTGCGCCTGTGCAGCGAAATGCATCACGCTTCTTGCGCGACATGTCATTTTCATGCAAATCACAATGGAATAGCGTCGCAAACTGACACGTGACACATCCATGAAAAGTCACTTGCAAAAGCTTCCCCCAATGGCAGCGCCTTAGCGTCCTACTGCGAACGGTTGCGAACGGTTGCGAACGGTTGCGGACGGTTGTGAACGGTTGCGGACGGTTGCGAACATAGAAACAACGGATCGCGAACAATACTCTACCCCCAGACCCCCAAGAGTTAAACGAGAACCCTTCGCTACGCATTCGGGAAAAAATCATATGTTTTTTTCTGCGAAATGGCATATGAAAGGGCTTTTGACCGTATAGATGGCACATTGTGAGGAACCATTATATTTATTTAGATATATTTTTTATGTGTGCCAGCATTTGTATGCATTGAATTTACGATATGAATTATGATGTATATAGACATGACACACCGAGCCCATTGATGGTATATGGGAGATATAGCAGATTCAAACCAAAGAGGAATTAATGCAGGAGAGGGGAAATATATATAATAGGGGGGCAGGTGAGAGCCATGGGAAAAAGACCGTGTTGCTGCCTTTTTTGCATTTTTTTTTAATTTTTTTGATTTTTTCATTTTGAAAAAATATTTCTCTGATTTGCCATCTTAATTACCGAATTTTGATGTGCCATCAAACCGGTCGAAGGGATTTTTTGTGCCTTTTTGCAATTTTTCCCAATTTTTTTATTTTTTGGATTTGGGACATTTTTTCCCTTGGGTTGCCATCTTATCTCTCGAGTTTGGATGTGCTATCTTGTGGTAGGGGGATATAAATTTATAGTATTATTAGTTGTTTTTGAAGGAATGTTTTATTTATATCGGTGGATTTGAATTTCTTTTGAAAAACGATGTGGGATTTAGAAAAAGTAATATTTTTGTAGAATTTAGTTGAGGTTTCTTGTGATATGTTTATTATTCGATTGGAAGATAATTTTTTTTGAAAGAAGGATTTTGTTATGTTAGGTATTTGGCGTGTGGAGAAGCGAAAATTTATTTATGATTATTGAAATTGATTCGTTATAAATCGTTATTGTTATTTTTGATGTTATTGGATGGCGGTATTCGTGGTGGCTTAAGGTTAATCGTTATTGATCTCTTTCTGTACCATTGGGAGTATTTTGGTAGCGGAGGTTGAATTA